CCGTTCAAACTTTCACATACCTCTTACGGGTTTTTTCTTTTGGAAGAGTGCTACTTGAAGATGTGCTGTTGGCAGTCTTGTTCTTTTCCTTTGACGATGATACCGGCTTGACTAAGAATGGAAAACATATGAAGGATAAATCCTTCCAATATTCGTACCTTTTCCTATTTTCAGTAATGTCGCTGTGGTAAGCTTTCTCTCTTCAGGTAGTACGCACTTCCGAGCTAAAATTAAATCCATGACATTTATAATATTGTTTATAAATGCAATTTTTTTGCTACAATTTTCAATTTCTTCCAAACGTGTGCAAATTGAAAAGCTGGTTAAGTTCTCTTATATTACCTCTAATCCCTCCACATGGTAAATCAGCAGTGGTGTTATTTTTTCGGTTCTGCTGGAAACGCATGCCGTTAGGTAGAGTAATTGTAGTTCCATTCTGATGATGTTCCCTCACAATATCTTCACAAAATCGGCACGTAGCCGCACAATCCCTCTTCATTACTTCTATGTGGACTGAAAATACTATAACTAAAATGATAACCATGGTTTACATTTGATTGTAAACTTTTTAAGAATTTACCTGGTTCATCGCAGAAGTGCTTCACAAAACGACAGAATATGCCCTGATCCACGCACGATTGAGGAGATGCTAAAGGTAAAAGTTGGAAGAAAAGTTTTGGAGATTTTACTTAGACCTTAACTATTCTCAGATTCCCTCACTGAAAATAGCACTCATTTTTTTATATCATTAAGTATCATTTGAAATCCTCTATATTTGATGTTCAGATTATTCAGAAACGTCGACACTTATGGTACTGCAGTAAGGTTTGTTCTTTCTTGCAAATAATCAGAATGTTTTTTCTCAATACTAACAGAATTTCAAAAAAAAGTTTTCGTTAAAATTAGAGTTTTTTCAAAATTTCAGGGCAATCTGCCTCTACTTTCCTTCTCTATAGAATTCTAGGTCTTAGGTTCGCGAATACTGCTCAGAAGTTTTTCGATTTTGGGCTTTTAATGCGAAATTTCTGCTGCCCATGTCTCTTCATAATCTCAAAAAATTATCCATAGGAGCGATTCTTAATCGCACAATAGCATCGATTAATGGGTATCCAAAATAAGCTTTTCGAAAACTGAGGCAATCTTATATTAACAGAGTACGAAATGTCCATACTAATTTTGATGGCACTCTGGTTTTTTACTCAAAAACCGATTCATTGCAGATTTGATAGGGTTTTTCATAAGATTTAGTCAGCTGTTCTTTTACCAATCATATAATCGATGTTTTGCTAAACAAGAAAATATCGTATACATAAAACTTTTTTGTGAACACAAAAGATTCAGCTACCTTCTGTTGTACTGCTTGAATTGATTTTCTTGGCAGAAATAGCTTGAAGAAGAAGTGTTGAAGTCAGAAATAGAAGCATCTCTAAAATAGTGGAAAACTGGAAAATTGAGACAATGAGTCAACTGAGCTATCAAGAATTTCTTCAACTTTTTTTGCAAGAAATACTTACATAAGTGCTCAATATTGTCAAAAAAGTCACAATCGTAAAACTGAAACAATAATGATTCATGTGAGCCAATTCAGAAACTGTAGCAAAAATCGTACATAGCATTGTCCTGCTTTGGCTTTATAGGATTCATAGGGACTGCGCAGCTGTATCAACGAATGACCTGAGCTCTGAGCGACCATGCATCTGTCCATTATGATCCCGTTGATGTTTGAACAAGCTGCTTTGCACAGAACAGATAAATCCAGAAGCTTCCCAAATTTGCTACTGTAGGAAAAGCGCAAAACTTATCACAGCGCCAATCGGCC